AAAAATTATAGTTTTGTATATTTTAATGTTTAAGTTTTTAGACAATAGATGAGACAAAATGTTCTGGACTGAATGGTAGCTTACCCGAAATCATTCTCCTCTTAATTTCCTCCTGAATCAAATTTTGATTTATTACTGTCGTGCCAAAATATTCCAACTATGTCACAATTAATCAATAAATATATATTCTCAGTTATAAAGGGCCTAACAGCGCTATATGAATATGAAATTTGGACTTTCATCATAGCATGAAGGCGTCTGAAAACAGAATACTGAGGAGGATTAATCTGGACCTAAGTATAAAGAAGAAGAGAATACAGACAATTTATCAGCAGGGAGCTCCAAAATTTGTAAATTTTATGGATGTTATTAGGATAAATAAATCAAGGACTATGGGCATGTAGCATGCACGAACAAGAAAGATTAAAAACAGCAACCAGGATCACAAAACCTGAATTTAAGATAATTGGGAGACCTCGTCGTAGATGGTAGGAGAATGTTAAGATGGATAATTAAGAATCGGGATACGAGAGTTTAGACTGAATTATAATGGCTCAGGATAGGGTCCAGCGGCGGGCTCTTGTGAACACGGTAATGTTCCCTCCTTGTGCCATATAACGAGGGGAATTTCTTGGCGATTTGAGTAATTCATTTTGATAGATACGAGTATGTGTGGGAAGCGTGGCCCTTGTTTCGAGCCCAGCTATGGCATCTATTAATCTTGCATGTAAAATTGATTACAAGCCGGTCAGTTGTCCACGTGAAGAGTTGGTGAACCCATCGATCAGTGTTTGTTTACCAAGACACTGCCTGCTGATTGTGGATCACGGAGATGATAAGGGACAACCCGATTCCTGCTACAGCCACAAACCGATCGTTTAACCCCTTCCTGTGCTACTTCCCACTCGCAAGTAATTTACACGATACAGCAGATGTGCCTACTGCCCCAAACTCAGGAGATAATGTCATCGTATTTCTCTCTGACTGCCCGCTGTCCTCAGATTTTCATATTTCCCTGTTTTTCAATCCTTTCACCGACAGCCAAGATAATGAATCGTGTTTAAGTTAAGATGCAAGGTGTAAGATGCTTATTATAAAGCCTGTTTTACATTATGTAAATTCCATCTTCACACATCTGCATTCTGTTCTCATGAACGAGGGATTGACGATCAAGCCATGGAGATGTAATTGTACACCTGCTGTGGAATGACTTTCGTCACCTAAATTCAATTTAAATTAGTTTGTGAGTTTCTTATGTGTTTAATGTTGTGACATTCGTAAATAACTATTTAGTTAAGTTGGCTTTAATAACTATTGAAGGAAGCTACGGGTTTCTTACTCCAAACATCCTTTCATATGATTCCACTCGGAATGACGGACGTAACAGAACAGCGTCATAAAGTAACCCACAACTCGGTTAACATTCATATTACCTTGCGGTCTCTTTCTCGACCTTCTGGGGCGCTTTCCCACCGCGAAAGTTTGCTAACGCTGTAACGTTTCGGAGTTGTATTCCGGAAATGTGACGTTTTAATCTGGGCCGGTCACCGTATTTTCGTGTCTTTCCTCAATCTCTTCGCGTGAATGCCTGTATATTACTTTAAAATAGGCCACAAACACTTTTTTTTCAGGTCTGTCACTTCACTGAAGACGTTAATTTTCCCATAGCATTCAATTCCGATGAGGTCATTGGATT